CGTTCTATTACTGTTATGCCATACAGAATACCGTTAGGTAGGTAACATAAGCTGTATCTGCGTCTCTTTCTGGCTCAAGCTAGAGCTTATGCTGCCGTTTAACAGACTCAATTAGGTACAGCATTGGACCACCCACAAAGCACTTTCCATTTGGGTAAGCACAATCTCTCTACCTCTCTCTCTCTCGCACACAGTCTCTAGTAGTGTTGTCGCCACGCGTGGGTTGCCAAATGATAACCAAAGAGCCATCGATCCGACGACCCATCCAAATGGATCAACCATAACAACAACAACAACAGCAGCAGTAGGAGCCAAAACAACAACAACAAGAACCACAAGCGCATGACAGGACCACACAAGATGAAAACGCTGAAAAAAGCCACACACAGGCAAAAAGACAACCACTGAGCGGCGACGGTGGCGACTGGACGGTTGATTACATGAACAAACGAAGCGAAGCAACCGGCAAACGACAGAGACGGCGAACAGGGAACCGGGCAACGGGCAACGGGCTGGATGCAGTCGATCCGCGTAACCGCAAAAGTCGACGCCAAGATAACGAGTAAAAAAAAATAAAATAAAAAATAAAAAAAGAGAGCCAACCACAAACAAATTTACCACACACGCCATCCCAAAGGCACAGCCAGAGAGGAGAGAGGACAGCGGCGACGGCGACGGCGAAGACGAAAGCGACGGCGAAGGCGACTGGAAAAGACAGGGGCGAATTGCCTCTAGGGGGAACCAAACCGAATACCATTGGCGGCGACTTGGGCGAGCCAGAGCCACACGTATTACCGGTGGCAAATAGTAATTATTACATTAAATGCACCGCAATAATACAGCAACTACAACAACAGCAGCAAACAGCAAGACGAACAACAACAACAATACCGGCCATAAAAATTGCAACGATGCGCGACCTCAAGTCCGACCCCGATGCCCGATGCTCGATGAACGAGCTTAAGCCGAAGTGCGCAAGCGAACCCGAGCTAAAGCTGTAGCCGAAGACCGCCTGGAATGGCTTCTAAGCGAATGCAGTTAAAGTTTAAGTGGTGTAGCGAGTCACTCAGTGATCACTGCTTACTGGACACTGGAACCGGCAATGTTAATGGCGTTATAGGCCAATGACAAATGCAATTGCCTAGCGATGCGGATTGCAATGCTGGCGCACTGGGACCCCAGCTGCGGTGCACTATAAATTAAGACATTATGCGATTAAAAACAAACAGGCTGTCGTTAAAGTTGCTCGGGTGTGAGGTTAGTTTGAGAGGGGCAAGGAGGTGCCGGCGAGTGAGAGAGGGAGAGAGGGAGAGAGGGAGAGAGCCAACTGTAAAGGCACGAGCGAAATATTTTTGGCTAACTGCAGCCAAATAAATATGTAGCTTAATGTGAGCAGCTAGCTGAGTCAGCATTCGGCTAGATATTACATGATAGATCATTCATAATCAAGCATATTTATTACTAATAAAATAAAAGTAATTATATGTAAAGCTTGATACTGGAATCTGGCTTTCTTGATTTTCATATATTTAAATATTAATTTATATTAATATTTAAAGTTAATAGAAATTATAAAAATAGTAAATATTAAATTAAATGTAATACAATATGCTTTGCTGCCTTGCTACATATTTTTAATAATAATAGATAAATATTGTCTATCTCTATCTTTCATAATATTAATATATGTAAATATTTATAGATATAACCAAAAATTTAAATATAATATAAATAAACATATATTGCATATTAAACAAAATGTAACCAGAAAATTATATTCATATACATATGCAAATATGTACATACATAGCTCTGTTATCGCTCATATACGATAATATCAATGCACCTGTCAATAACAAGAAGACAAAGCTTTACCTGAACAACTGAACAGCTTCCTGGCCAATCATTGTATCTACACATATTGATCTACATACATGCCACATACCCTTTATACGCTACGTAAAACAATCCCTCAATCTCCATTCAACAGCTGCTCCCATCCCCATACCAAACTAGATCAGATGCCTGCATGTGAATGATATCTGAAAACAAGGCGGCGTTGAAAAAAAGTTGCCGCGCTCTAGGCAGGCAAACTGTCGGGGAAGGCAGACAGGCAAGCAGCAAGGCAGCCAGGCAGCCAGCCAACCAGCCAGGCAAGCAAGCAGGCAGCTCACTGCGGTAACAGCAACATTCACAAATACAACAATAACTCGACGCTGCCGCAACTGAAACGGCAAATGAAGCTCTCAACCGCCGCCACGTTGGTGGTCCAATGGCAGCTGCGCCGTTGCCGCCACACAGGCACAGCATTTGAATGCCCAAGTACATATGTCAGTGTGTGCCCCTCGCTCTTGCCATCACTCTCTCGCTCTCACTCCCTCTCTTATTCTTTGCTTCGCTCTCTCTCTCTCTATCTCTCTCTATGTAGAGAGTTGGTTATGGGGAGCATTGGAGCTGCGTTACGCTGCAGGCGAATTGAGCAGAGCAAACTGCAAGTCATTGAGAGCAAAAACATGAGAGTCATGCGCAGCGCTAATATTAGAGATGGGCAGGCTGGCACGATCGACAGAGTGCAGCAACAATTAAGTGCAAATAACTTAAATTAAAGTTGCATAAAATTTTAATACAAAC